CTTATCCATGAAGAGAAAACTCAGGAGAGGAACTGAAAATATAAACAGGAACAGTCTGACTTCTGAATCAGTTTCACTGAATTTCGTATAACAAGCATATATTAGTTTTGTATAACTAATTTCGTATAATAAGCATGTATTAGATTTTCAAAAATCCTACATATTCTCTATAAAAAGAGAAAAATGAGAATTTCTATGTCAATGCATCCTTACAGGCACAGGAAAAACACTTCCCACCAAGATTCACCAAGGCAGAAGACAACATGAGCGAGAATGAGCATGCTATATGGAGCAAAACAAAAGTCACTGACTGGTCTGTAAATTCATTTAAAAATATAAGGGGTGGGCCCGGCACAGTGGCCTAGCGGCTAAAGTCCTCGCCTTGAACACGCCGGGATCCCACATGGGCACTGGTTCTAATCCTGGTAGCTCCACTTCCCATCCAGCTCCCTACTTGTGGCCTGGGAAAGCAGTAGAGTATGGCCCAAAGCCTTAGGACCCTCCACCCACGTGGGAGACCTGGTGGAAGTTCCTGGCTCCTGCCTTCGGACTGGCATAGCACTGGCCGTTGTGCTCACTTGGGGAGTTAACATTGGACGAAGGATCTTCTTCTCTGTCTCTGTCTCTCCTCCTCTCTGTGTATCTAATGTCATCCGAAAAAACGGCTAGGAGCCCTGAGCGGTCCTCAGAAACAGAAGATCAGTAAACTTCCTTTGGGATTCGGGAGAGGAGCTTTCTCTAGTCCTAACTTCATTCCTACCTTGGCTCCCCATCCTCTCTTGCAATGACCATCAGGGTTGCTCTGGAGCCTTTGCTCCCTGAAAATTAGATCAGATAAACAGAGACCAATAAGCAAAGCTTAAAACAGACAGGAAACAGTCTGTTTGGACTGCCATATACCTTAGTAGGTAGGACACAAAGATATTCCTCCTCACTAAGGTATTGAAGATTACTCTGCACGCCCCTCCTAAAACTGTTCTGCTCCTCAATTGTTAATATTTGGCATGTTTGGGTTATAAGCCTGTTTGGACTAGCCTAAAATCCAGCAGAAATCACGCTTGAATACTTTACGCTGCTAAATATATAAATGAAAATAGACATGAGACAGCTGAATAGTACCATATAACTATTTTAAGGTGTATAGCAGCTGGTTGTGTATAAACTATAATTGAGATGGCAATGAAGTAGTTACAGGATGTGGTTAAAAACTTGCATACTGGTCACTCAATACCATGTCAATTAACTTCATGATGCTGTAAATTATTGTTGAAGTTGTTTAGTGGCTTTTCATTGGAGAGGATGATATTCTTTCTGCCAGCCCTATTTTCAGACCAGGGATGGTTTCCCACTGAAACTGTTGAGTTTCTCTGGACAAGAAGATGCTTGTCTCTGCACGGTCCATGCCCACAATAAAGGAATCATGACTAGTTATGATCTGTACTACTGTAACAATGTGGAGGAATTCAATGTGGGGGCAGGGTTTGGGAGGGGAATTCCAGAGCCTGTGAAACTGTAATAAAATGAAATAAATGTAGTTAAAAAAAAAAAAATATATATATATATATAGGGCAGAAGTATGACCCAGTGGTAAAGGCACTGCTTGGGAAGTTCATAACTTATGTTAGAATGCCTGCAAACAAGATGCAAATCTGCTTTTAATCCCAGATTCTTGCTAGTATGTACCCTGGGAGGCAGCAGGTGACAAGTACTTAAGCCACAGGCTTCAGACTTTGCCTTGCTCAGCATGCTGTTTCACGCACTTGGTGAAGGAATCATCACACAAAATCCCTATATTGCCTCTGCCTTTCATATGGAATGAAAACAATTTAAAAATAAATGAAATACATTTTTCTTTTAGTTTCTAGGACTAAAGCTCATTCCTCCCAAAAGGCAAAACCTATGGCATGAGAATTTTTAAAAATATATCAAATATATAGTCATTGGGCTATTGTGACGACCCTGACATGAGGATTTTTTTTGGTAAAGTATCTTATTCAAGAGAGTTATGAGAGATACACAGAGGGAAAGACAAAAAGAGAGAATGAAATCTTAATGACAGGAACAGCTAGAAGGGGGACAGGCCAAAAACTCCTGGGCCACGTAGATTTCCCAAGTGAGTGAGAAAGTTCCAGTACTTGGGTCATTTGTTGCTTTCTCAAGTGCATTAGTAGGGTCCTGGAGAGCAAGCCGAGTAGTTAGGACTTGAACCAGTAAGGGATGCTGACATCACAAGTGGCAGCTTAATCCTCTATGCTGCAGCTTGGCCCTAGCAGGTTTTGCTCTGCTTTCTTAGAAAATAGTATTACTTTAGGTATTTCACTTATTTACATCTTTAACCTATTTTTAAATTTATTTTTTTATTTCCATGGCTGAGTTATATAGAGGAGAGAAAGAAAAAAAATCTTCCATTTGTTTGTTTTCTTTCCACCCGGCCACAATGGTCTTAGCTGGGCCAGTCTGAAACCAGGAGTCAGCAGCCAGAAGTTTCTTTTGGGTCCCCACATGGGTACAGGAGCCCAAGGACTTGGATCCTTCTCTGTTGCTTTCCTAGGCAACTAGAAGGAAGTTAATTAGAACTGGAAGTGAACATATGGCATGCTGGTACCATCAGGCAAAGGACTGAGTCACCATGTCAGCACCTTGAACATTATTTGATAAGAAAACTCTTTTAATTGAGTAGTTTTGGCACATTTCTCAAACATCCTTTGATGATAAAACATACACAAGGAGGCCCAGTAGAATGGCTCAGTGGTTAAAATTCTTGCACTGCATGCACCAGGATCCTATATGGGCAACAGTTGGTGCCCTGGCTGCTCCATTTCCCGTTCAGCTCTCTGCTTAGTCTCGGAAAGCAATGGATGATGGCCCAAAGCCTTGGGAACTTGCACCCACACAGGAGACCCAAAAGAAGCTCCTAGTTCTTGCTTCCGGATTGGCTGAACTGGGCAGTGAAACAACAGACGGGATTTTTTTTCTGTCTCTGCTCATCCCTGCAAGTATGCTTTTCTAATAAAAAGAAATATGTAGATATTTAATTGGAAAGGCAGATATACAGGGACAAGGAGATACAGAGAGAATGATCTTCCCTCTGATGGTTCACTCTCCAAATGGACGCAATGGCCAGAGCTAAGCCATTCCAAGGCCAGGAGCCAGGAACTTTCTCAAATAAATCAGCACCCTTCCCCCTTTTAAAAACATATGCAAGGGCTTATTTATGAGATATGTAATCTCCTTATGGTGTATTTGAATGTTTTCATATTATTATTACACTCTAAATTACCATAGCAAAACCAGAAAAACATTTCCAAACATGTTGTGGGCTAAGGAATTGATTAGCGCTTGTTGGAATGGGTGGGAACAGGAACTGGGCTTGTAGCTAAAAACACCTGGACTAATTGGACTCATCTGTATCCAATATCCTGGCTAAATTAGGATGTGAGGGGAAGGGTATATAAGGAGAGGTGAAGGAGCAATAAAGATACTTTGCAGAGACTTCTACCATCACTGGTCTCCTGTTGGTGCTTCATCCCCAGATTCTCTCCCTGTCCACGTTACTGGCTCTGCTGGCTGGAGAAAATGGCGCCTAACATGGGGCATGGCATGAGGGACAATGTGAGGGACCCCTGGACCTAAGAAGGTAAGTTTAGAATTAAAAATTTTGCAGGAGCGTAAGTGATTTCATCCCCAGACCCTCTCCCTGTCCACATTACTGGCTCTGAGGGCCGGAGCACACACATGTTAAAAATTATAAATATCAAAAGAACAACATCAACAAAGTCAAATGGGAACTCACAGAATGAGAGAAGTATTTGCAAATTATCTAATAAATGATTAATACCTAGAACAAAAAAAAATAAATAAATAAGCTCAGTAAAAAAACAAGTTGGACTTAGTCTGGTAGGCTAGTGGCTAAAATCCTCGGCTTGCATGAGCCAGGATCCCATATGGTGGCTGGTTCGTATCTGGGTTGCTTTATTCTCATCTAGTTTCTTGCGTGTGTCCTGGGAAATCAGTAGAGGATGGCACAAATCATTGAGACCCTGAACCTGCCTAGAAAATAAAGAAGCAGTTCCTGGCCGCTAGCTTTGGATAGGCTCAGCTCTGACCATTAGTCACTTGAGGAGTGAACCAGTGGACAGAAAATCTGTCTCTCCCTCTCTCTCTAAATCTGCATTTCCAATAAAAATAAATAATGTTAAAGCAAACAAACTGATTAAAAAACTGGCAAAGGAAGTGAATTTCTGTGAAGATTATACCAAGAGGCTAACGAATAAATGGAAAGATACTCAATATCACTAATGCACATCAAAACTACGAAGTGATACTCCCTCGCATCCACTAGGATAGGTGTTTATCAAAAAAAGATGTAAATATGACAGTGCAGCAGAAAACAATGTGGTGGTTTCTCAAAATAGTAAAAACAGAATTAGAATATGAGTCAGGGATTCCATTTCCAAGCATATCCCTAAAAGGACTGAAGGCAGAATATAAAGATGTGTTTTCAAAGGTGTATGGCTTGTAATAGTAAAAGTGAACACCACCAGAGAATTCATTCATGGAACAATGGAGGAGCAACATGAGGTAAAGATGCATCATGAAGTAAATGGTAAAATTGTGGTAAATGGTAAAATTATGAAGAAGAAACCACCAAGACGGTAAGCTGAACATTCCAGAAGACTATCTGGTAACAGGTCAAGAAGAGCACAGAGAAGAGAAAAAGTATAATAGTAAAAAATCCCACTCACAAAACTCTCTATTGGATAAAACACAATTTCTTTAAGCTTTTAATCAATAAAGTGAGGGGTTTGGAATGGGCTTCTACATTTCCTTTGCTTAATTATTTATAATTTGGAATAACTAGAAAAGAAGAGTTCTTGAAAACATCAGGCTTTACAGAAAAACGAGAGTTTGTAAGATTAACTAATTCGGCATTACATCTATGTCACATCTATATAAAGCTATTTTCCTCCAGTGTATTAGTACTTCAAATAAGAAATTACCTTTTATTCTTCTCTTGCTCTTCTTCCTCTGGTAATAGTTTCTGCTTCTTCCTGGCCTGTTCATTCAATAACCAGCTTTTCCTTTTCAAACCCTTCTTATGTTCTGGGTTCAGGTTTACGCTCTGAACGACAGCTTCAATTACATCTGTAACTGTATCAGGACTGAGGTGTAGTGCTGTTCCTTCTTCAGTTTCCTTCAATTCTGGGCTGACAAACTGGGCAGCTTGGAATGCCTGCATTGAAACCACAGCCTGGAGAGGACATTTCCGAGGTCGACCTGGTCTGCGCTTTACGAAGTTATTTCCTGTCCTGGCCTGCCTCTGAAGTTTTTTGGCTTTTAAAATTTTATTGACATGGTCTAAGTTTTTCTTAGTGGCCAAGATTTTGTCATAATTGCACATTTTCCGAGCCTGGCGCTGCATAGCTTCCATTACACTTCTTTTTATATGATGAGGAGAGCAGCTGCTTGTCAATTTTTCAGAAAGGAGTGAGATGCTGTTACTGCAAGACTCAATGGGGACTGCAGGCACTAGAAGGCTGTCTGGTTTTCCCAGCATTCGTTCTTTACTGTGGCTGCACCCTGGACTAGAAGAAGGTGCCGCAGGGGCAGCTGCAATCACAGCATCAATCCTGTTATCCACAGGTAGTTGGTCTTCATTGTGTACCATTCGCTGCAACAGGCTATCCACAGAATCATCCCCAGAAGCAACCAATCTTGGGCTTCGGGAGGGAACTCCATTTACTAAAAAAGAACAAATAACACACAGATCAAAGATAAGAAATACTGTTCTACTTTCCTAACAAATTAAACATTATAATGCCATATACACTTACATTTCACAGGCAAGTTATTATTTTGTGAACAGAGTATATGATAATCATAATAAAATTATAATTGACCTGTTTCTCCAATAGTACATGAATTAAAAACAGCAACTCTCTAAGGCTCAGAAAGTTATCTATATGCAGAAGCCTGAAAGTAGACTTCTAACTCACCATATACACAATTATTCAAACTGAATGAAATTGATGAAATGGTCATCTTTCCTTTTGATAACTGTTTATAGCACCTGCCTATACTCCTGCTGAACTAGGATCTCTTTATTAAATTTTTTGTTTAGTGCAGTATGAAGCCCTTGAAAGCAGTGTAAATTAAAACTGTTATCTCAAAAACTAAGAAAGAAAAGGGGGCAAGGAGAGTAAGAGTATCACTAGATTTTTTAAATTCATGTATAAATTATACTGAATTTTTCTTTGTTTGATTATCACATTGAAGAAACAAAGTACCTGATTATTAGAAAACACTAAAGATCTTTATTTAACACTTGAAAGTTGGAGGAAAAAATAGGTAAAAGACTGCAGGACACTGTAATGATTAAGAACCCCTAAAGCATAGGCAAAAATAAGACAAATTAGACTTATCAAACTAAAGAGCATCTTCACAACAAAGAAAATAACAGAATAAACAACCTCCACAAAGTAGAAAAACAGCTTCAATGTGATAATCTGACTGGAAGATAGATAATAAGTAGAATATATAAAGAAATCAAACAATTAAAAAAGAACCCCACCCCCCAATAAACTAATGTAAACAGACATTTTGTTAAGAAAAATATGAAGTACACATAAGGCTAAAAAGCACATGAAAAATGTTCTACACATCACTAATAATCAGGGAAATATACAAATCAAGACATCACACTCTAGTGAGATATCAAAACACTGACAAGGAGGTGAAGAAAGAGAGCCCTGCACACTGCTGGTGGGAAAGTGAGTGAGCAGTCATCATGAAGAACAGAAAGAAGTTCCTCTGAAAACTAAAAACAGAACTTCCGAATGATCTGGCAAATTTCATCTAAAGGAAATGAACTCAATCTTTTGAAAGAGACGTCTGTACTCCCTTATTTATTGTAGCACCACCATTCACAATAACCAAGAACTTAAATCAACCTAATTGTTCATCAATTGATGTAATACTATGTATCAATAAAAAGGATGAAATCTTGTTATTTCTAGCAATATGGCTGGAATATGAAGTTGTTAAGCTAAGTGGAAGACGCAACGGCCAGCATGTTAGTGCCGCAGCATTGTCTGACGCCTGTGACACCTGTGTTCTTTATCTTAGTAACACTGGAAGTGCTAGTTTTTCTGCTCCTAACCAGCTCCCTGCAGAAGTGTCTGGCACAACAGCAAGACTTCAGTGTCAGATTGTATTTGTTGAATTTATGTAATGATTATCAGCATCTTGGAAGCTCTTTATGAGTACATTCATGCCAAAGGTAAAATGGAATTCAAATGTCAGTGATAGTTCTGCCTCTTGTGCTGCTTTGTTTTTATACCACCTTAAGGAGATTTCTGAACTCTTTAATCTGTGACAGTTTTCACAGTGTCCACCTAGATCCAAGTTAAGAAACTTACAGAGTGGGTCAGTTGCACTCCAAGAAAGTATGCTTTTTATAGAGGGCTGGGATTGTTTCTCAGCCTGCTCAACCCCACCCACTGAATTATTTTCCCCATTCCTACCCTCTGATTCTTTCTCAACCAACCAGCTTACAGAGAGGAAGGCCAGGATGGCCCAAGTGCATGGTATAAGGAAAAGAGCAGGACAAAGAAACCATATGGGATCTCCTAATCACAGACAAGGAGAGGGAAACTTACTTCTCTGCTTAGAGCTTCCACAACTTCTTGCTTATGTTCAATACTATTCATCACCACCAATTTTTCCAACCTGACCTTCAAAAACTGTCTTAACTACACTGGCTCTCTCATTTAGTTTCTTGACTATTTCTCCTGTCACATATTGCTTTTACTCCTCATACCTTCTAATAACATTAATAAATGTTCTCAGAAGCCAGTGAGGAGGCATGACAGCTAGTCCTTTGCTTGTGGTACTGGTAGCACCTATGAGTGCCAGTCTGAGTCCTGGCTGCTCCATTTCCAATTAAGACCCATGATAATGGTTTGGGAAAACCATGGTGAGTGGGTCTTGGGCCTTGCACCCAGATGAGAGATTCAGAAGAAGCTTCTGGTTCGTGGTTTCAAACCTGTCCAACTCTGGCCATTATGGCTATTTGGAGAGCAAATCAATACTTGGACAATCTCTTTGTCTCTCTGTAACGCTTTCAACAAAAAACAAATAACATATTTTTAAAGACTTATTTATTTTTATTGGAAAGTCAGATTTATAGAGAGAAGAGGATACAGACAGAAAGATATTCTATTCACTGGTGCACTCCCCAGCTGGCCACAATGGCCAGAACTGAGCTAATCAATCTGAAGTGAGGAGCCAGGAGCTTTCTGCAGATCTTTCATGCAGATGCAGTATCCTAAGGCCTTGGGCCATGCCCCACTACCCTCCCAGGCCACAACCAAGTAGCTAGATGGGAAGTGGAGCAGCCTGAACATGACCTGGTACCTACATAGTATCCCAGTACATGCAAGGCAAGAATTCAGCCACTCAGCCAGTGTGCTAGGTCCAAAATAAATAAACCCTAAAAATATATAAATATATTTCCAATTCTCTAAGCTTATATAAAGGATCATCTTTTGCGGCTGGGAGGGGGTAGAGATAAACACATACTATTAGTAAAAAGAAAATTGAGAACATAAAACCAAAAATTTTTGCATACGCTTTGAATATACTTTAATTTTTATTTTAAACATATCTTAAAATGCACCAAAATTACAAACTGACAAGTTGAAGTGTTAGCACTAAGGCACAGTGAGCTTAGCTGCTGTCTGTGACACTAGCATTCCACATCATAATATAAGTTCCAGTTTCAACTGCTCTGTTTCCAATCTGGTTTTCTGCTAATATGGCTGGCAAAGGCAGTACAAGATGGCCCAAGTACTGGAGCCCTGTATGATCTCTCTGAACTTTCCTTCTCTTTCTTTAACTCTACCTTTGAAATAAGTAACTAAATATATAAACTGCTAATAAAAAGTTCGTGCCTGCTACTCCAGAAATCTTTGCAAAATACTTTCATATGTAATATAAATCTTTATTAAATAGCTCTAATCCATACTCTACCATTATAAAACACACTTTGCTTCATTATGTTTCAGTTTAAATTACTGATTCTAACATAATAAGACCATTTCTGTGTTTTTTATAATAGCATAAATCATTCACAAATATCAGATGAAAAATGATGACAACACAAAATTGCACTAGCCTGTTGAAGAAGTACTCTCGGATGAAGACCTTTTTCGGGCAGGGCTACAGTTTGTGCTTTCTGATGGTCTCTGGGAGGGTTTATCTGAAGTTGACTGGGAACCTGGAAAAACAAAAGACAAATCACAGGAAAAATTCAACTCAGAAAATATTGTTAAACCACTGTTTAAAGCTGTCAAAATAAAGAGTTGCTACTATTACCTCCCATGTAATAATGTAACCTGCAAAATGAAGGGCCAGTGCTGTGTGGTGTATTAAGTTAAGCCACAGTCTATGACACTGGCATTCCATTAGCGGAGATTTTGTTACCACCTGCTCTATTTCCAATTCAGCTTTCTGCTAATTGCCTGGGAAAGGCAGCAGAACATAGCCCAAATGTTGGGGCTCTTTGTCCCGAACATAAGAAACCTGGATGAAGCTCCTGATTTCAACTTGGCTTCTGTAGCCCCCTGGGAGTGAACCAATGGAAGAAAGATCACTCAATGTCTCTCTCTTATCCCTGTAACTCTTGCAAATAATCTTTAAAAATTTTGTAGTTTATAACCTGACAAAGGAAAATAGAGAACCATATTAGATGATGCCGACACAATTTCAGTCTTAATAACTCTTCTTGTTATATTAGCAAATGGAAAACTAATTTTACTAGAAGGAAGAATATATGATTTGGTTTTTGTTTTATTGCTATGAAACATTACTAACGATATTTTATTGATAAAATCGCTTGGAAGATTCATATCAAATTTGCTGATGTTTAAAAGTTTATCACACAATTCAGCAAACAAACTTACAACGCAAATAACTAAAAACAGCTGATACAGAAAATTAGACATTATTAAACTATTTAAGAGAATCAGACAGGAAAAGTAAAAGGTCAGACTTTCAGTCCATATGTTCTATCCAACTCTGTAACAAATTCTTGAAGAGGTAAGCAACCAATTTATCTATGAAACATAAAATATCCTATTTAAAGCCATAAAATTAAGGTGGTTTGAATATCTATCTATCTATCCATCCATCCATCTATCTATACACAATTTATTTATGAGTTTATATAAACTTATGAAAACAGAAATTAAATTTCCTTTCAAAAGACATTTTTTTTGGCAAAACGCAAATGATGCAAAACTGAGCACACCTGAGAGATTATTATACTTGGTTTTGATACTCATCTCCTTATAACAGAAAAGTCACCCATTTTTGTTGAAAAAAAAAAAACAACCTACAGAACTAGTGTTCATGCTTTAAAAAAAAAGCATTACATATAACTGGAGTCATAGAACATACAAGTAATCAAATAAATGAAGATGCAACTTTAAGGATCTGCCTTTACAAGAGTTACCTCTTTAAAGAAATGAGTTTCTAAAGAGAGCTTAGGGACAGAAGAAATAGATGGAGGCAAGTTTCTAATATTTACCTTTCTGCAATAGAAATGGTAGCTTATGAGTTTTAACTAAGTGGTTAAATCACATCAATGCAAATATTGGTTTAGTAAGGTACTAGAAGCACTACTCAGGTGGGATGCAAGACTGTGATATCATTCAAGAACAAGTCAGTTTTTGGAAGTTGATGTGATAGCACATTTTACTGCTGAAATTAAGTGATAATTGATGTGCAAGAAGCAATATCGTTTATTGCTGAATGTGAAAATCAAACACAAAGGGATTTTAAAAACCAGAAGTGCAATAAATCCCCTGGTGTGTGGTTCACATAAGATTTCTACTAAAGAGATAAATATTACAATAAAACATATAAGAAATAAAAGCCCCAGGCACCAGTGAAGATTTTAGATATAAAACACAATCATGTACTGAAGAGATATATATTGCCTACCCATATACACAGTCAAGACAAAAGACAACAGTGGCCAAGAAGCTTGAGACATCATTAAATCGTTTTAATCACCATTTCAGTTGACTGGGCAATCACAGATTATATACCAGGAAAGGAGTAATTAGAGAGCACTTTTTATCAAGTCTTCTCTCAGTTACAAAATCACATCTACTGAGTGTACCTGACATGCTTGATGTAGTTAGACTGTGAAGGGGGTTGGGGGGAAAGGCAACAATTTATTTAGGGCCAAGTATGCCATCACATAGCACATTTCAGTGGCATTTGTGCCATCCCTTCTTGAGCTCTGTCTTCATTTCCTATGCTATTTGGTAACATTTCCCAAATTTCTTGGTCATCTTCAAAAAAGTCTTGATGAAGTCTTGAACTATACCTTTGATCATCAGGATATCCTGAGAATCACCCTGCCTGGCCTCACCCACCTCAGGATAAAAGAGGGTACAGGCACTTTCTTCAAAGCTCCTTCTTTTGGTGGCATCTGGAGCTGCAGAGGAGGCAGTGGGAGGTGGAATGGGGGGTCAGATCCCTGGAGATCGTTATTGGCAGCATTGTACAGCAATTCCTGAGAAACTGAAACAATTGAGAGAGAGATGGCTTAGCTCACTTAGCTTGGGAGCCATGCTTCATTTCCTGAAAGTAATGGAGGCCAGCAGTCTATTCTTAGGATTTAATAGGAAACTGGAATAAAATTTCACTCAGAAGGGTTCTAATTTTTCATTTAAAAAATGTTTGAAATCTTTGTGCATAAAATACAGAGCTGTTCTTATTATTCCATATTTAGAGAATAAATCTGTATCCTCAAGATTCAGATCTTCAACGGCTTGATAATGACCAGTTATAGAGGCTTAAAGTCTTTGTAAGAGCAGGAAGAGGATGATGGTACATGAAAAACACTATCTAATAATGTAAAGCAACTGCTTTTAAAATGTGAAAATGTTTAACTTATGTGCAAGTGGCAACTTTATAGACATCTTAAAATACACTAAAATTAACCTAAAAGCAGAAGTCCTACAAAATTTGTAAATATTATCTCCAATACTGCTTACTAACTCCTATTATATAGCTGGATAAAAGGTAAGAACAAGGTAATGTTCAGGAAGTACCAGCATGTCTGTTTCAAGAGAATATTGTATTTGTATCTATAAATCTAAAACACAATGTAAGGTATAGTATAGTATTAAGTATACAGATAATGGAGTAAGGTATCCTGGGTTTAATTCCTGGCTCTTACAACTACAGGATGCCTATAGAATCCCCAAAAGATAATGTGATATAAAAATTATTTTATAAATTACAAAGTATTTCATAAATGTTAGCCACTGTTTCAGATGAAAATGGTCTCCTTATGTATGTTTTGGAAATTTTGGGCCCTAACCAACTTGTCAGTGACAAGCTTAGGTTAACAACTGATATTAAAATAAAAACTAAAAGAGCAGAGACTTGACCCTAGATAGGGAGCAGGAGCTAAGTTACAACATTAAGCTTTTATCTCAACCATAAAATGAATCCAATTAAGAAGTATTACTAAAATCAAAACTAAAAAGTGAAAAAATAAGTATTACTGAGGCAGATACTGCTAAAGCTGGCAGGTACTTGTGTACTATATAAGGATTCAGTAGCTTTGAAGTGAATCTTCTGAGTTTTCATCACAGCACTTCCAGTACTGGGATTTGGTTCTGGTTTATAACAAAACAAGATGTGCCCAACAGATGAGTCAGAACCAGAAGGCGTCTGGCTTCCAGTTCAGTTCTATGCAGGGAACAAAACAATTTACTGTTCCCCCATTTAGCTCTGGCTCTTCGAATTCATGGTGGTTTACTTAGGGAGTTACTGCTTTCCTGCCTCAATCATGTGATGTTTATTCATGTCTAATTAATTGTTATTTCACATCTGCATGGAGGGGTATGAGGATTCTTTCCACTCCTCAAAGGAAATGAGATTTGTAAATATCGCAGTTAAAGAAAATCTGAGGGGCCCGGCGCGGTGGCGCAAGTGGTTAAAGGTCCTCGCCTAGCACGCCCGGGATCCCATATGGGCGCCGGTTCTAATCCCGGCAGCCCCGCTTCCCTTCCAGCTCCCTGCCTGTGGCCTGGGAAAGCAGTCGAGGACAGCCCAAAGCTTTGGGAACCTGCACCCTGTGGGAGACCCGGAAGAGGCTCCTGGCTTCGGATCGTCATAGTATCGGCCCGTTGCGCTCACTTGGGGAGTGAATCATCGGACGGAAGATCTTCCTCTCTGTCTCTCCTCTCTGTATATCCGCCTTTCCAATGAAAAAATAATAAAAATAAATCTTTAAAAAAAAAAAAAAGAAAATCTGAGTTTTGCAACGAATACACATGGGTAATAATTTTAGATAACACAGAGTTCCCATCACTTCCCACTTTCGTGCACTATGAAGTAGAAAAATCAAGTAATTCATAACTAAAAAGGAGTAACATGGGAATTCCTTATTATATGGAAGTACTAGGCAGCAACACTACTGGGTGCCTCATCACTCAGATGTCACCTTCAGAAACATGATTAGAAACTGCACATGGAAAATTATTTAAGTTATACACTGCAGAAGAAGATATATCTAAATAGAAGTGGATGTCAGCATAAATGTGAATGGATTACCAACAATAAATTTTCTTCAGCAGGAAACAAAGGCCGTCATGCAAATAAGAGGTACATTGCTAGTGTGAAGAGAGACTGAATAACAGAATTTCAAAAAGTGGAAAATTATACAGAGAATTAAGAAGTAAAAATGGTCCTGGACATATGAAGGACAGTGGGAACTTGCAAATGGATTTGATTACAGACTTTTGATTTTACTTGGCCTCTACTACATGAATTTTACAGATAAGTTTAGGAAAATACCTGTATGAACACAAAAAAAAACAGCAATATGGTTTTACAGCAAAACTATGATGAAAACATGTCAGAAATGGATAAAGCAACAACGAACATACCTGGATTATAAAGGAATACAAATGTGTAAGCCTCTATATTATATTCAAAAGTGAACAAAGATCAGGAAGCTCTTTTAAGACTGATGTGTCTCAAGAGATCATGACTGACCTCTGCACAGGCAGAACTAAAATAAAAATAAGATGAAAAAGGAATACTCCTTTTGCAGATGTGCTGATAAGTACAGAGTCAAATGAATAAAGATTTTGGAGTAAAGAGAATAGTCCCATTGGTAATAATTCCAGTTGTGATTAGGGGAGAAACATTATCAAAAAAAAAAAATCTAAGAGTGGAATAGAACTGTCT